AATGTCTCCCCAAGCCACCAGAATCCGGCTCGTAATGTGTGTGAGCCATTGCCCAAGGCAGATCAGGTGAGGAAACACCGACTTTGTGTCTGGAAAACCAGGAGAGGAGTGCAGAAGACACGACTGATCTCTAGCTCTGTGCTGGTGTTCGCTCCCCACTGGAGCTCTCTACTCTGATCCCATTCCCTGCTCTCTCCCTATCGTATCTGTGCTGGTGTTCGCTCCCCCACTGGAGCTCTCTACTCTAACCCCGTTCCCTGCTCTCTCGCTATCGTATCTGTGCTGGTGTTCGCTCCCCCACTGGAGCTCTCTACTTTAATCCCCTTCCTGCCCTAGTACCATACAGCTCTTCTGATTCCTGTCAGGATTTGGGAAGTCTTTACACTGAGACCTTTATCACATTGGGCCAACAGGATGTTATTATTTTCTTGGCTTATGGCAATCAGAAAGTTATAGACTGCCTTTAGAGAACTTAACATAACAACTCTTGTTTTCTTTCCTCCACTTCTCCCGCACCTCTCTCCCCCATCTCCTCTTCCTCCCCGGGCACAGTCCCCCGGCAGTGTGTTTTGTTCTGCAATGAATAAAACCAGTCTGAAGATGGATGGGTTCTGTCATCAGTCAGCCAGAGAAGTAACCATGCAGGTAAGTCTCACTCCTTGGTACCAGTTCATCAAGGGATAATAATAATAATAATAATAATAATAATAATAATAATAATAATAATAATCCTTGCAGTTGAGATTGCATGAAGCGGAATTGAGATGTCTCAAAGCACTTCATGGAATATACCCTAAAGTTCAGTGACTGTGTATTTTCTCGGCGAAATTAAGCCATAATCAGTCGTGGAATGAGTGGATCACATTTTATTTGAAGGATTTGTTGGTCAGGACACTGGGCCAACAATCCTGCCTGGGGGCGGGAAAAGGCAATCCCCACGGTCCTCACACAACACCTGCCACCCCATTGCCCCCTCTGCCACCCCCACTGTCCTCACACAACACCTGCCACCCCATTGCGCCCTCTCCCCCCCACACTGTCCTCACACAAGCTGTTAGTTTACCGTTAGTCAGTAGTTCGCGTTACCTGTTAGTTTACCATTAATCAGTAGTCAGTGTCAGCTGTTAGTTTACCGTTAATCAGTAGTCAGTGTTAGCTGTTAGTTTACTGTTCGTCAGTAGTCAGTGTTCGCTGTTAGTTTACTGTTCGTCAGTAGTCAGTGTTAGCTGTTAGTTTACTGTTTGTCAGTCGTTAGCATTAGCATCAAAACCAACAACTTGTGTCTGTACAGCGCCATTCACAAAGTATTTGGCAAAGAGTTCAGTGTATTTTAAATGCAAATGTAGCAATCTCATGCCAATATTGGGAAGAGAGAGGATTTTTCTATCTCCGGTGTCCTGGCCAACATTCCCCCCCGCCCCCACCACCCACCCCCACTCAGCTCCAAAAAATGGTTGCTCATTCCATGGCTATTTGTGGGATTTGTGTGTGCAATTGGCTGTCACGTTTGCCCAAATACACAGTCACATCACTTTACGTTATATCCTGCGAAGAACTTTGAGACAACAGATGACATGTAAGGAACTATATTGAATCAAAGGATTGTATTATTGCAGTAAAACTCACATAAATCGTATCAGTCATGACCATAGCATTTAATATGACTTATGTGAAGTCCGAGTTAAACACAAAGAGTATAAATCATATAAATCAGATGCAATCAGTAATCTACACTGTGCGTGCATAATTCAATGCAGCCAACAAGTGCACATGAGGGGTCAAGACTACGTTTCCCCTGATTCAATGCATCTTAACTGTTGCCGTAGGAGTACTTATTGCAAGCGTTGGAATCACATTCAATCCCAGGAAATTAAGCTCTTCTGTGCAGTTCAGTACATCAATTCCCACGATTCAGTACAGTCAGTAAGTGCGGGAGTAATGGAGGATAGGTGGTGGGCATTGCGTGTTAGGAGATGATAATACGACTTGTGCAGAGAAATCTAAGTGGTTAGTGGGGCAAGTAAGGCGGGGGATGTGAAGCTGGACAGAGCCCACTGAGCGGAGGGAGCGAACAGGACGGTACAGGATTAGGAGATCGGAGAGGTAAAGGGGAACAAGACCATGGAGGGCTTTGAAGGTGAGGACCAGGATCTGGATCTGTATCCTCTTTGTGATGGGAAGGCAGTGGAGTTTGGCGCGGATGGGGGAGATAGGGTCACGGAGCCCAGTGCGTGAGGGGATAAGGGCTGCAGAGTTCTGGATGATCTGCAGTCTGTAGAGGAGGATTTGGGGAGGCCGACAAGCAGTGAGTTTGCAGAGTCGAGCCTCGATGTAGTGAAGGCGAGTATGAGGGTTTCGGCCCCTGCGGTATGAGACAGTGTCAGAGCCGGGCGATGCTGCGGAGGTGGGGGAAGGCAGAGCGAGTCATGGCGCGAAGGTGGGGTAGAAAGGATAGTTGAGGGTTGAACAAGACCCCAGGTTCCGGACCGGTTAGCAAGGTTGAATGTGCAACCACGGATGGCGATATTGTCAGCGCCTGAGGTTTCCCTAAGTTTTCACCCCTCCTGGATTGGAACCCGGGTGCTCTCACTTGCGAGGCGAGCGCTCTAACCAATACACTGCAGGACTCCACTTATAAAGGTAAGACTTATGTGAGTTTCACTGTATTATTGTAATAGATGGAGCTCATGCGGGATTGGGTTTTTTGACAGGATATCATGTCATTCGCAAGTCAGCTGCTGGCGGACTCTGCTGCGTGGAACAGGCTGGAGCAGGAGGAGAGACTGCGGGTGGCATCCACCTTGCTCCAGACGATGGAGAGGACAGCGGTGACATTAGCCCTCAGCTTAGCCAGCCCGGGGTTCATACACTTTCCAGACGCCCAGCTTGGTAAGTTCCACAGTGAGCGACAGGAGTATCATTTACATGGCTTGAGACAATTAAATTATGTTTTACTTTGCAGTAAAATCTTGTGAACACTTTGAGACACCTCAACGACATAACAAGGTGCTGTATCAAAAGCAATGAATGTTATTAGTGCTGGCGATCTTATATTTTGGAACTGTATCTGGACTCATGAACAAGTGGAAAGAGCCAATCAACATCCAAAAACATAATGATTCTTGCATTTAGTAATAATTTGCACTTGAATTGTGCTTATCACATGGCTGAGATGTCTCAAAGTGCCTCACAGAACACACTATAAAGTGAATTGATTGTATTTCCCACAAAGAGTCATGAATTGAGTGATTAATTATTGTAATTTTAGTATTGAAGGAATTATTAACCCCGGAAAGCAATCTGCCATTCAACTAATAACCGGGTTCCTTCTTACTGTGAGGTAAACAGAGGTGTGTGGAGTAAGGAAATCTGACTCAGGTTCTCCTCCGCCTGGGAATCAAACCCAGGTCCTCTCACTTGGGAGGTGAGTGCACTAACCACTGCACTACAGGACTCCAAAAGCTGCCATTTTGTCTTTTAGATCTGCAAGTGGGGGTTATTGATACGGAAAGACCCCCCAGCCAACAGCGAGCCAGACTCTCCACCCAAGGGAGCAGCATGGATATAAACTGGGCAACCATCGCAGGAGGAGAGACGACTGGTAAACTGAAGCTCTCAATTTGCAACAACAATGATAATGACAACTTGGCTTTACACTGCGCTATTCACGGGGGCAGCGTCTGGGAGCACTTTAACAGCTTGATGCCAAACTGGAAAGGGATGGGAGGTGACCATACAACAACAACAACAAGATTCCATTTATAGAGCGCCTTTCACGTCGGGAGGATGTCTCAAGGCGCTGTACAGTTGGGTCAGGACCCGAGCATTGGGGGAAATGGTCAGGGTGAGGGGAGGGAAGGGAGGGAGCGAGGAATAGGGGAACTGGTCAGGCTGAGGGGAGGGAAGGAGCGAGGAGGGGGTAGAGAGTCGAGAGGGGAGGTGAAGGTATGATCAAAGAGAAAGGTCTTGAGACCGGCCTTGAAGGAGAAAAGGGAGGAAGCGGCGAAGGTACTGGGGATAGAGTCCCAGAGCCTCGGGGCTGAGAGACTGAAGGCCCGGCCACCGATGGTAGGGCGGTTGGGGCGGGGGATGTGGAGCAGACTGGAGTCAGAGGAACGGAGGGTACGGGCAGGTAGGTAGGGGGATAGTAGGTTGGAGAGGTAGGAGGGAGCGAGGCCGTGAATGGCCTTGTAGGTGAGGATGAGGATAGTCACGGTCGAAGAGGAAACTTTTCAGGTGCAATCTGAAGATGGGCAAAGAGGGGGAGAGATGGAGGGATTGAGGCAGGGAGTTCCAGAGGTCCGGGTCTGAGGTGGCTGAAAGCACGGCCACCGATGGTGGAGCGTAGGGAATGAGGGACAGGCTGGAGGCCAGAGCCTGGTGAGTGGAGCAGTTTTTGTTATGGGCAGCTGGGTGAACGTAGAACCCAATCACCGTGCTGAAGACTATCCAAACCAAACAGAATTCCATGCATCCCACCTACACAGGGAACTCCCAGAGATAGATTGTTGGAACGGAAAGCACTCTCTCTCTCTCTCTCTTTCCCTGGAGGGATGCATCCTGCTTACCTAATTCCCTAAAGCATTAGGCACAAGTTGGTGAGAGCCAAGGCTTGGGACACGGGGTGTGCTTTGGGGTAACTGCTAGAGTCTAACCCACTAAAATCACATAGCTTGCCATTGATATCACTGTCTAGCAGACTTGCCCGCTGCTTGTCCAGCTCGGACCACACTACCCATTAGAGCTTTGGCTTGCAGCGTTAACACGAGCTGAGTAGGATGAGTCCCTATCCCAGTGACTGATGTGCCCCTCCAAGTCCAGAGATCAGGGTGTATTGACTGAAGGCTGTGTAACTGGTTCCGGTTCCTCTCCTCTACTCCAGGTTTAGCAGCCGTCATCTTCATCTCGTACAGCAATATGGACAGGTTCCTGAAGGGGGCTCCTTACAGAGCTCACACCGGTCACCCAACCCCAACCAGAACCCACTTGAATTCCGGGTAATTTCGGCCGCTCTGAGCAACCGCCAGAGCGACCCACTGCCTGAGGCTGTCAACTTCACCCTGAAACACAAGCAGGTTAGTCCCAGGCCTCAGAGGGATAAAGTGGAGCTCAAAAGAAACTTTTCACAAGATTGGTTCAGATGAAGAAGACCCTTCGGCCCATCTGATCTCAGCACCTCCACAACACCCTCCTGAGTGTCCCCATCACAACATTGAGCTGCTCTTCAAACGAATCCCAGTGTCGTGGCCTCAAACCACTCTTCCTGGACACCCTATTCCACATGTTAATTACCCTCTGGGTAAAGAAACACTTCCTGGTGTCTGTCGCATCATTTCAGATAAATCCCCCAGTCACTCACTTCATGTTTGTTTGCAGGGACGTTTCTATGCGCCAATTGCCTGCTGCGTTTGCCCAGAAAACTACACATTCCCTACAGTTTACAGCTTTGGGAAGTCCTACTGATGCGAAAGGCTCTGTGCCAAATGTGATGATAATAAACCTTGCCTTTGATACAGCCCCTTCACATTGGGAGGACGTCACAAAGTACATCACAGGATTCACAGGAGTAAAACGGAGTGACTCTGTTTTGTGAGTGAATTTGCTTTATGTTCGTTGCCCTGGAATCTTTAAGGTCCACCTGAATAGGGCACAGATGGGAGGCTGGTTCTTTTCATCAGAAGCATTGCGCCTCCGACAACGCAGCACCTCTCCCCCCACCCCCAGAGCTGCACTGGAGCGTTAGCTAAGACTATATGAGTGGGGGCTTGGACCCACATCTTCCCACTCAGGGGCAAGAGTGCTACCAACTGAGGCAGGCTGACTTGAAATATACGGATTATTTGGGGCCTGTCATGTTATGTCTTTGCAGGAGCCTGAAGCGGGAGAGACATTAGTCTGTGTTTACTGGAACCATTCAGCGAATGGGAGTCACTGGTCACCCCGAGGCTGTGAGTTGACACATTGCAATCAAACCCACACCAGCTGTAAATGCCAGCACCTGTCCAGCTTTTCTTTGTTGATGGCCTTCAACCGGGAGGTAAGGACTTTCATAACACTCGCTTTTGTGAATTTGCCTTTCCTCTTCGCCCATCTTCAGATCACGTCCTTTGGATGAAATATTAAACCGAGGCCCCATCCGGCTGTTCAGATGGCAGTAGTGGCGCTAGTGTCCTGACCAACAATCCCCTAAATATAATGGTCACTCGCTCCATGGCTGTTTGTGGCTGCCACATTTCACCCACAAAATACACAGTCACTGCACCGTACAGTATATCCTGTGAAGCGCTATGGGATGTCTCAGCGATGTGATAAGGCGCAATATCAAATGCAAGGATTATTATTATTATTACACCTAACGATGGGAAGCTCACATTAATGTCTCATCCAAAGGGCGGCACCTCTGACAATGGAGTTCTCCCCCCAACACTACATTGGAGCGTCAGCTTAGACTATGTGAATCCAAAGTGGGGCTTGAACCCACAACCTTCCAGCTCAGACATGAGACCCCTACTGACTGACCCAGGCTGATACATCAGAAGCAAATGACAGAGAAAATCAACCAGAAAATGTCTTGTGTGTTTCAGTTGCAGGATTCTTCATCAGACAAGGCTCAGCGCGTTATTACCTACGTGGGGATCACCGTTTCCCTCGTGTGCTTGGGCACCACCATCATTACTTTCCTTGTCTCCTCCAAGGTGAAGAATGTGATAACAGCCACCCACACCCAGCTGTGTGTCAGCCTGTTCCTGGCAGAGCTGCTCTTTCTCACAGGGATCAACAGCACCAGCAACAGGGTAATGATAACCAGAATCCTTACATCTGACACAGCGCATTTCACATTGGGAGAATGGCTCCGAGGGTTCATAGGATTTCACAAGATCAGTCTGGATGAAGAAGGCCCTTCAGCCGATTTGATCTCATCACCACCAGAACACACGCCCGACCATCCCCCCATCAAAGCATTGAGCTGCTTTATAAATGAATCCCAGCATCCCGGCCTCCCTGTTCCACTCGTTAATTACCCTCAGGGTAAAGAAACATTTCCTGGTGTCTGTCCTGAAATTGTCCGTCTGCAACTCCAAACCCGTGTCCTCTTGATTTGCTGTACAGTGTAGTGACCATGTGTTTTGTAGGTGATTGCAGCAGCCAATTTGACTGGCACACGCGCGTGTGGGGGGGAGGGGGCCGCAAATGGCAGAATGGGGAGTGGGGAATGTGAGCACAAAGCATTGCATCCACCGAGTATCAGCCCCACACCATTGATTTCCATATACTCAGTCTTTCCCTGGTCAAATGCCTGTCTCCTTGCTCTCCTTCCAGGTGCTGTGTGGGATCATCGCTGGTTGTCTCCATTACCTGTTCCTGGCGGCATTCGCTTGGATGTCTTTGGAATCAGTGCAGCTTTACCTGATGGTCCGAAACCTGAAGAAGATGAGGTTGGCTGGTACTCACCGCCCCGGAGGGCTGCTGTACACACTGGGGTATGTGCCACCCGCAGTCCTGGTGGTTATATGTGCCGCAGTGTACCCCCGTGGCTATGGATCACACAGCAAGTAAGTGTTTTTTGTCTGTGTCCCCCCGTGTCTTCACTTCCCCTGCCTTGCCCACCCCACCATTGGCAGCCAGACCTTCAACCGCTCTGCCCCAACCCTTTGGAATTCCATCCCACAGTCCTTCCGCCTCGCCCCTCCCTTGGCTCCTCAAGACCCACCTCAAAATCCTCCTCTTCTACTACTGCTCTCCACGACCTCCACCCTTCCTGATCCCAACCCCAGTTTGGATGTGGATCCCTTATTGTCCAGCACTCTGGACATGCTCTTAACGTGAAAGGCGCTATTCAGGCATAATTTATTGTTGTTTGTTGTGTGTGTTGTGTGGAGCAGGTGGATGGGGGGGTGGGGGAGGTCCCATTGTTGGGTCAAATTACCATTCTATAGTCACCTTCCCCCTCCCCCCTCTCTCGTTATCTGATGCTGCCTTCCGGAAATGCTCTATGTTTCTTATTGGACATCTCAAAGCATGTCATACGGTTCGCTGTCAGGTGTAGTGATTGTGTCCACCATAATAACAACTAACAACAACGTGCATTTATATTGTGCCCTCCATGTGTGTGAGGGTCTCGGAGAGCTTAGCTTCTAATCATTAGGTAATAATAATAACTAATATCTCCGAATAACTTTCCCTTCTGGTTCTCAATTGTAGCTGCTGGTTACAGGTAGAGAAGGGCTTTGTGTGGACGTTCCTTGGGCCAATCTATTTGATGATTCTGGTAATTATTTTTTAAAATGTTTATGATACTTTACGCTTATAAATATGCACCAACCTGGGCGTCAGCCTGGCTCAGTCGGTTGTGCGTTCGCCTCCGAGTTAAATGGTTGTGGGTTCAAGTCCCACATCAGAGATTTTGAACTCACCGTCCAGTCTGACCCTCCAGTACTGGATGGACCGCATTGTCGGATACTCTGTCCTTCAGATGAGATGTTAAACCATGCTCCTCCGCCTGTGCCCTGTTCAGGTGGAGGTTAAAGATCCTGTGATGCTATTCAAAAAGCGAAGGGAGTTCCTCTCTCCTGGCCGACAATCCTCCCAAATAACATTATTCATTGACTGCATAGAATCGTAGAATCATCATCATAACAATAATAATAATCCTTGCATTTGATATAGTGCCTTATCACATCTTCGAGACGTCTCAAAGTGCTTCACAGAATATACTGTAAAGTGAATTGATTGTATACTTGTGGGTGAAACTCAGCAGCCAATTATAATCATAATAATTATAATTTTAGAATTATACAGAAAAGAAGGTGACTATTCAGCCCATCGTGTCCGTCCCGGCTCTTTGAAAGCACTGTCCAAATTAATCCCACTCCTCCTTCTCTCTCCATAACCCTGGAAATTTCTCTTCCCAAATATCTGTCTAATTTTCTTTTGAAATGTGTTGTTGAATCGGCTTCCCCCACCCTTTCAGGCAATGCATTCCAGATCCAAACAACTTTCTGTGTCAAAAACATTGCATGGCTGTTTGGGGTCATTGCTTCCTCTATAACTCCCTGTTCAGGTGACTATTTCATCAGAGGATTATAAACAACTGCATATATTGCTCTTTTCATAAATATCACATCACATCCCACATAATCCCATCTCCATACTCTTCCAATGACGTGGACATGAGTTTAAATGAGGGCAAATGGGCAATTTCAGGACAGACACCAGGAAGTGTTTCTGATTTGAAGAGGGTGGTCAGGAAGGGGCGGGTGGGGGGTGGATGGGGTGGGGTGTTGGATGGCGGTGTGGGGGGACGGGTTGATGCCAGGTGCTGGGACTCATTTAAAAAGCAGCTCAGTGCTATGATGGGGGATGGTTGGGCAGGTGTTGTGGAGGTGGTGAGGTCAGATGGGCTGAAGAGTCTTCTTCATCTGAGCCCATCTTGTGGTTGGGGCTCTGTGGAGAAGACACAGTGGTATTAATTATTTAAATTGCTCAATAGGTCAACACAGGTCTGTTCATGGCCACACTTGTCACCTTGAAAGACGTGCTTTCCCATCGTGATGTTGAAGTCTCAAAGATCAAAGACACGAGGTAAGAAAGCCCGTGTCCCAGCGACTTTGTTTCTTTATGATCAATCATAGTAGTAGTACATAATAATACATAATAATATGATAATATTGAAATAATAATCCTTGCTTCTGATACTGAGCCACGTCACGTTGTTGAGACCTCTCAGAGTGCTTCACAGGATTTTTATTGTTAATTGTAGTGACTGTGTTTGTTGGCAAAGGTGGAAGCTAAATTGCACATGGAAACATCCCACAAACAACTTTGAAATGTGTGACCAATTGTATCTGGGGGTTTGTTGGCCAGGACACCAGGAAAGAGAAATTCCCATCTCTTTTCAAATAGCTCCACGGGATCCTTCATGTCCACCTCAACAGACACAGATGAGGGCTCTGTTTAATGTCTCGCTGAAGGGCGGTACCTCTGACAACGCGGTGCTCTCTCCCTCCAACACTGCACTGGAGCGTCAGTCCAGATTGTGCGCTCAAAGTCCCCAACACTGGAGCTTGAATGCACTGTGTCTATCTCAGTATTACCCACTGAGCCAACCTGACCTAAAATTGGCTGCTGCGTTTGGCTGGTAAAAATACAGCCACTAAAATTTCTCGGTGATATAAAATGCAACGTGTTTAATGTTGCGGCAATATGTGTGTCTGCCTCCACCTCACCTCATCTCAGAATGATGGGGTAAAGCCCAACCTGTCAGGGCTTGGAGTCACATAGACTAATATGAGATAAGACAAGACATAAGCAGAGGCCCTGTCTGCCCGTTCAGGCTGTTTCTCTCTCCCCGATGTCCTGTCTGACAATACCCCACATAAAGGTGACCATTCACTTCCTGACAGTTGAATCACCCTTCAAGAGCAAATAGACAGTCAACTGGGATCCAGGAACAGAAATTTAAAAAGAAATTCGAGGAGAACAGCTGCTGTGGGTTTATAGGGCATAGGAGGCTTGAGGTGATGGTAGAGGCTATTGGTAAACCTTGTGAAGCGCTTTGAGACATCATCTTCACGCAACAGATGCTGTATCGACTAATAATAATCATAATTATTGTGGAGACCTGTAGCTCAGTTGTCACCTTGCAAGCGAGAGACCTGGGTTCAATTCCCAGAAGGGCGAAACCTTGGGCAAGTTTCCTCACTCCACAGCCCTGGTTATAATCCCTCAAGAAAAAGACACAACGACAAATTGGTCACTTCAATGACTGTTCGTTGGATGCTGCTGTGTGCAATCGGCTGCTGTGTTTCACTCACAAATATACCATCAATTCACCCAATAGTATATTCTGTGAAGCGCTTTGAGACGTCCAGAAGATGTGAAAAGCACTATATAAATGCAAGGATTATTTGGCAGCCAGCGATGTCTGTGCAAACATCCGTGCAGTGAGTGAGCCGGTTATTTGTTGGTGTGAGCCTTACTCTGACGGTTGTCTTGTTCCTGGGCAGGATGCTGGCGTTTAAAGCCGTGGGGCAGGTGTTTGTCCTGGGCTGTACCTGGATCCTGGGAGCGTTTCACTTCCGGAAGGAAACGGTGGTCATGGCTTATTTATTCACCATCGTCAACAGCTTCCAGGGCGTCTTTATCTTCATCCTCCTGTGTCTGCTAAATCGCAAGGTATGTGCAGCTGCTCTCCTTCTCATAATAATAATCCTTATATTTGAAACAGCGCCTGATCATGTCGTTGCGATATCTCAAAGCGCTTCACACGATATACTGTAAAGTACAGTGACTGTATTTTGTAGGCAAATGTGGCATCCAAACAAGGCAGGTCCCTCCTGAAGATGGAGAAGGAGGGGCAAGGTGGAGGGATAGAGGAAAGTGCTCCAGAGTTTCGGGGCATAGTAGCTAAAAGTGTGGCCACCAATGGTGGAACGGAGGGCACGAGGGACAAGCAGGAGGCCGGAGCTAGTCAAGCGGAGGCAATGGGTTGTAGGTTGGGGAGTAAGCAGGTCGGAGAAGTAGGGAGATGCCAGGACATGAAAGGATTTGAGTGTGAGCATCTTGAAATCAATCTGTTCAGTGATAGGGAGACAGTTGAGCCTGGCTAGACCTGGTGTGATGGGGGTGTGAGTTTAGTATGGGTGAGTATGCGAGTGGCAGAGGTTTGGATGAGCTGGATTTTATGGATGGTGGAGCTGGGGAGATCGGCGAGGGGAGCATTTGAATAGTTGAGGCGGGAGGTCAGGAAGTGAAGTGGAAGTGATTTTATTTGGGGGAATTGGATGAAGGAAAGGGCACAGCACAGACATGAAGGGCCGGATGGTGTGGGTTTATACGGTTCCACTCGTGAATCCCAGCGCTGTTTGAGCTTCCCTTGTCCCTGTTGTTGTAGGTGAGGGCTGAATATCGTGGGTGGTTCACTGCCGTGCGGAAGATGAGGTTCAAGTCAGAACCTGCCGGCATCCCCTTGACACTCACTTCGGTAAGTGGTACCTCCACAGGACTGACACATACACAAACCCAGGACCAGAGCTGAGCCTTTCTGGACAGCAATATCAATGGTAAGTTATAGAGTTTTATCTGGTGTAAGATTCTATAATTAATGTGTTAAATAATATCTTAAGTTATATTTGCCATGTTTATGTGTACATATATATATACATATATTTGAAACATATCATCAATCTCATATGAGGGATCTTCGAAGAAGACCCTTTCTGAAGGACGAGAAACAAAAAGACTGTTTACAAACGACAAACTGTTCACGTTCCTTATCAGACATTTTCTCATATCGAACAGGGAACTTTACGACAATACTTGGATACCTTTTGATGGACATTGGATTCAAATGAAAACATTAAATTGGACATTTTCCTACTGTCTCTGCTGCAGCATTTGGTTTGAACAACTTAAATTATTGTGAGCCACAGTATACGTGGATACGTAAGAATGATTGAATGTACTTTTAATTACTTATATCCATTATTAATGTGATTAATTCCATAAGATTTGTGTCAGTCCTGACTTCACCACAGGGTCACGAAAATAAATGAAGCCTCACATTGGCGCAAGAACAGGGACCCCGTTGTGCTGAAGTGGGATAAATACAAATGTTTAATATAGTTTAAAGATTAAGTATTGTAGTTTGGTAAGTTATGTTTAGTGAGTTGGAGATTGATTGTTGATGTGTACAGGTGGGGTAGAGGTAATTATACTGAGACATGGCAGTTATACCGGCCATGACAATATTATGTCCTGTATAATTGCATATATTATCAGATACTGTCTAATCCCATTTCATGGCTCATACTCATAGGGACCTTCATTTGCTTCATTGGCTCCATCCACTGCTTTCTCGTTTACTTGTTTATTGACAAGAAAAGATGTGTTGGAGAAGCAGAAGTCAAAGTGAGAGAAGTTGAACTTCCGAAAGCCCTCGCGAGAGAGATTAAGTAATTAAATTATCCTCACGCTGGTTAGACTCCAGCAGTTACCCCAATGCACACTCTGGGCTCCCCCCAAGCCTTGGCTCTCGCCAACCTGCGCTAATACTTTCCGGGATCAGGTAAGGGGGATACATCCCTCCAGAGAGAGAGAGAGAGAGCGAGAGAGAGAGAGAGAGAGAGAGAGAGAGCGCATTCCATTCCAACAATATATCTCTGGGATTCTATCAGTTGGGATACATGGAAATCTCAGCTGGGTTTGGAGACTATGAAGCGCGGTGCTGGGTTTCTCCATGTGTCGCACACCCCACTGAACAAAAATAAATGAACTTGGTGTGACAGAGCCTTCTGTAACATTAACCCTTTGCAGGATGAACCCTGATTGGATGAGGAGCTGGAGGTGCAGTGACTACACACAATGATCTACTGTCAGACCGTGTGAGGGGACCACATTGTAGATAAGCTCCGTCACCCTCTACAGCATCTGGCCTGACTGGCCTCGACCATCCAGGGAATCAAGCCTGGACTATCCTGCTCAGCGTATGTCACCCCCACCCCACCCCACACCCCACCCCACACACTTGCACATTAACCCAGCACTTGTCACGTGAGAACAAACACGAAGGGGAGTGGAAATCTGGAGCTCTTTCCCTCTCTCAAAGGGTTTCAAATTCTGGATTAAAATTTTGAAGACTGAGGTGGACAGATGTTCTGTTTGGATCAGTGTATCGAGGCATATGGGGCAAAGGGGGTTGGAGTTGGGGTACAGATCAGCCACGGTCTAATAGTACGGCAGAATAGGCTCAAGGGGCTGAATGGCCCACTCCTGTTCCCATGTTCCTCAACGCCGAATGAAGCGCTTATGCATAATGTAATTGATTAGAAATGTGGTTATCGTTGTTATAGAGGCAGAATGTTGCAGCTGATCTAATGCGCAATACATTTTATACTTCCACAACGCCTTTCGTGTCAGGAGGACATCACAAAGTCTGCTGGGTGGTGGGGGGGGGGTTGGGGTGGGGTTGGGGGGGTGGGAATGGGAGTGAGGGGGTGGAGGATGAGGGAGGGGCTTTGAAAGATGACCGAAAGCATAATTAAAAAAGGTAGATCTTGATGTAGACGTTAAATAAGGGGATCTGAATGAGTTTAAGTTCATCACCGTGGCATGTCAGCCTGGCACAGTGGTAGTGCTCTCTTCTCGGAGTCAGAAGGTTGTGGGTTCGAGCCCCATGTCAGGACTTGGAATCACATAGTCTAAGCTAATGCTCCAGGTCAACGCTGGGGAGCGCTGCGGTGTCGGAGGTCCCATTTTTCTGGTGAGGCCCACAAAATACGCAGTCACTGCACTTTACAGTAAAGCCTGTGAAGCACTTTGAGACATCCTTCTGACCTGATAAGGCACTGTACAAAATGCAAAGGTTATTATTCTTATTATTTTTATTACTATCTTATCAAATTCATATTGGCTGAAGTTTATTTCAAGGTGCAATTTGGGAAATGAAAGGGCTTTGCGCTGGATGTTTGTGATCTGCTGTAAACAGTTATATTTCCCATCTGTCTCCACACTATTTACTCCGACACAGAGATAACAATCTCTTGAGAGGCAAAAGACACAAATCTGCATTGTGTTACACCTTTGTAAATATTCCTGTGAAATATTAACTTGATAGGAATAAACATGATTTAAATCAAAAGACTTGTGAGCTGATTGTCGGGAGAGCGATAGTGTGTGAGTGTGTGAAACGTCGTCATTTCAGGACTTGGAACTCATATAGACTGAGCTGCTCCAGTTCAGTGCTCGGGTGGAACACCGCACTGTCAGAGGTGCCGTCCTTTGGTGAGACGTCACATCGAGCTCAACCCTCTGTGCCTGTTCAGGTAGACGTTAGAGATCTCATGGCACTGTTGGAAAAGAGAATGGTTCAAGCCTCCTGTGTGAACACATCACCAACAACAACAGCAACAGCTTGCACTTATATAGCGCCCTCCAGCTCGCCGAGTGAGACAAGCAGCGGGAAAGCTTGCTGGGCAGTGCTGTCAACGGCAAGTTATGGGGTTCTCGCTGGTTAGACTCCAGCAGTTACCCCAACACACATCTGGAGTGCCCAAACCTTGGCTCTCGCCAACCTGCCTAATACTCTGTGGTTAGAAGCAGGTGTCACTCTGGGGGAAGAGAGAGAGAAAGAAAAAGAGAGCGAAAGAGAGAGCGTCCACAAATATTTAGTTAATCCACTTTACAATATATTCTGTGAAGCGCTTTGTGGCATCTCAACGATGTGATAAGGCTCCATATCAGCACCTCGGGACATCCTCCCGACTTGATAGGCGCTATTTAAATGCAATTTTGCAATGTATTGTATATCAAATGCGAGAATTATTATTTGGTGAATGTTCGCTGATTGAACGTGAAGTGCTGTATCAGACGCTTAAGGAAATGAGAGACATGTGGCATCAGACGCGTTGTTTTGGAAATGTTTGGCTTTGAATGTATTTTGTCAAAATATCCACACGTATGTGTGTTTTACACTACTAGAAGGAAATTCCACAGTTTCTTCTGATAATTGAACAAACTTGTGCAGTGAATAACTGAGCTAAAGATTCTTGGTACATACTGAGCTTTATTGGTCTGCACTGAGTTGTCTGGTCTCATCAGTAAATTTCCTTCAGCTCCCGAGATAGGAAGTGAAACTCAGTCCAGTTTTTCCCTGGTTTTCCACTGCGTCGCTTCACTACAGATACAAAATTCCAGATTCCAGATACAAGATTCAATTCCAGGCAGAGGGCCAAACCTTGGGCAAGTTTCCTTACTCCACACAGAGCCTAATAATAATCCCTCCAAAACCAAAAACAATAAATCATTCCTCATTTTCAATCTACGACTGTTTGTGGGACATTGCTGTGCGCAATTGGCTGCCGCGTTCGCCCACAAATATACAGTCAATTCACTTTACAGTGTGTTCTGTGAAGCGCTTTGGGATGTCCTCCCGACGTGAAAAGCGCTATATCAAATGCAAGGATTATTATTATTATTAAAATGTTTTACAGAGCAAGGACTTTAGAGAAGCAACTTGGATAGCAGATAAAGTTTCATCCCACAACACTGATATTTATGCCTTCAGGATACTTTTACATGAAAGGCGCTACACAAATGTATTCTCTGTTTGTTTGTTTGTTCGTTGATCACATCGTTGATATAACCAGAAACGTCCCAGTGATTAACAGTGCAAAGTGGAATGTGGTTCAGTAATTACATAGGGTGTTATGGCACAGAAACAGCCTATTTGGCACAGCTCGTCTGGTGGTTACACTCCACTGGAACTCCCAAAGCCTCCAATGCCCCTTCCGATTCCTCTCTGTTTTCTCCATCACGTACGCAGAAAACTGCTGTAGGACGTGTTATATCCACATGCAAACATTCAGAGCTATGGACTCCTGTAGCTCAGTGGTTAGAGCACTTGCCCCGCAAGCGAGATCTGGGATTGAATCCCAGAAGGGCAAAACCTTGGGCAAGTTTCCTTACTCCACACACCTGATAATAATCCCTCAAAAAAAAACAACTAATTGTCCCCTTCAATCCACGGCTGTTTGTGGGTCACTGCTGTGTGCAATTGGCTGCCGCGTATCACCCACAAATATACAGTGAATATACTTTGCAGTATAGAAGACGTGAAAAGTGCTCTATCAAATGCAAGGATTATTATCATGACTTGGACAGACATCAGAAAGATTACCAGTGCTTTAGAACAGAAGCTGCTCAGTTGGCGGTGGCTCAATTTCAGCCGAACCTGAACGTCCCCTCAGGGCTCTGCAACACTTGGCCAAACTGCACCTAAAGTCTCCACAATGAAGTAAGCCGGTGGGTTCCTCTGAGAAGGGAGCGCACACCCCAGATACATAAAACACAGAAATCTCAATAATAATAATAATAATAATCCTTGCATTTGATATAGCGCTTTTCACGTCAGGAGGACATCCCAAAGCGCTTCACAGAACACACACTGTAAAGTGAATTGACTGTATATTTGTGGGCGAACACGGCAGCCAATTGCGCACAGCAATGTCCCACAAACAGTCGTAGATTGAAAATGACCAATTTATTATTGTTTTTGGCCTTTTGAAGAGATTATTATTAGGCTCTGTGTGGAGTAAGGAAACTTACCCAAGGTTTCACCCTCTGCCTGGAATTGAACTCAGGTCTCTCGCTTGCAAAGCGATTGCTTTAACCACTGAGCTACAGGACTCCATAGATGTCTCAAAGCTCTTCACAGAATAGAATACAATAGTTTCGTTTGGAGACTCTTCAGAGTGCTTTTTTCTTTAATTCCCTTTTAAAACTGTTATAAATTGTGCTTCATTCCAAGTCCTAATATCCCACTACCCAGAGAAAAAAAGATCTTTTATCCCCCGTTGTTCTGATAAGTAGAGCCACTCATCCCTTTTATAATCCCAGTGGATATGCTTGATATTCTCGCCGTGGTCTTGACATCCTCGTCAGAGCGGGACACTGAGAACCGGGCACCACACTCAAAATGTTTTTATATTGCTGTTTGTATTAAATATGTATTTATTCATCAATATAATATTTGGAACAACAGAAATGCCAAACAAACACAACGCTCAACGTCTTCGGCTGAAATGCCATTTGTTGTTGTTGGTTGAGCCAACAGCCTTCTGAGCTGGAGGTGAGAGTGTTCCTGTCTGAGCCGGGCCGGCACTCGGGGTTGTGAGGAAACAAATTATTGCTGCTGTGATTACTCAATGGATTATAAGGGAATAAAATTGCCTCATCATTGCTGTTTCTTTTGGTGAGTAGCTTTTAAGCCTCTTAGGAACGTACTGGGATGCCATCGCACTGCCTTGAACTGTTCCAGGAATCCCGGGGTGAGGCTTCATTTCCTGCTCTGCTGAGGTAATGGGTTTATTTTTTCTCTGTTTCGCGGATGGATTTGGGCCAAATGGAAATCCGGACGGGACGTGTGGAAGCAGAAACAGTTTGACAACGTTCTTTTTCAGGTTGTCAGGAATCCTGTAGCTCAGTGGTTAGAGCTCTTGCCTCGCGGGCGAGAGACCTGCGTTCGATTCCTTATTCCACACACGTGACTCTGTTTACTTCGCAGTAAATAGGAACCCGGTCGTTAGTTGTTCGTCGATTAGCGGATAAACACAAATATTTACATACAGCAATAAATAAAAAGAATAATTTGATCACTCAATCCATGACGGTTTGTGGGACGCTGCTGAACGCAATTGGCTGCCGAGTTTCGCCCACAAAATATACAGTCAATTCACTTTGCAGTATATCCTGAAAAGCGCTTTGAGACGTCTCAATGACAAGATGAGGTGCTGTATGAAATGCAAGGATTATTATTGTCATATAATGATAGTTTGTGGGTGGGGCACAATTTTAACAATAACAGGCATGTGGCACACAGCAGAGCTTTGATGGCACAAACTCACACCCTTATAAATGTTCAGCGATTTCCCCATCTCACTCCATCAGTGCTCAAGTGATGTGGTAAAGTTTCGCCTTCATTTGCACTCAGAGCCAAATCTGTGTGGACAGGTTCTCACTTGAATGAGGGAGAGGGAGAGAAAGAGACAGAGACAGAGAGACAGAGAGAGAAAGAACAAGAGCTGCAGAGAGAGAGAAAGAGAGAGAAATAGAGATAGACAGAGAAAGAAAGAGAGACAGACAGAGACATACAGGGACAGAAATTGACAGACAGAGACAGAGACACACAGGGACAGAGAGAGAGAGAGAGAGACAGAGACAGACATACAGGGACAGAGAGAGAGAGAGAGAGATTCATACAGGGACAGAGACAGACAGACATACAGGTACAGAGAGAGAGAGAGACAGAGACAGAAAGACAGAGAGAGAGAGAGACAGAGAGAGAGAGATAGAGGTAGACAGAGAAAGAAAGAGAGACAGACAGAGACATACAGAGAGAGAGACAGAAAAAAAGAGACAGAGAGGGAGACATAAAAACAGGAACAGAGAGAGCGAAGAGACACAGAGACAAAGCAGAAGCCGTTCCTGTGCAGATCACTGACTTCTGAGTGGACACATCAGCCAGAATGAGGAAAGCAAACTGGTTTGGCTTACTGCTGGGTACGTGAGCGGAGTGCGGAGTGATTAGTGGATGGAAACACAGTGAACGCAGAACCCTTTATCTTTTCCCTCTGCGCTGTTGTGTGTCAGCCCGGCTCAGTCGGGAGCGCTCTCGCCTCTGACTCACAGGTTGTGGGATGAAGCCACCACGTCGGGGAGTGGAATCACACAGTCTCAGCTGATGCTGCATTGTTAACGGGACTTTCTCTCTCTCTCTCTCTCTGTCGCGATGTCCTGGCCAGCAATCCTCCAGATAAAATCGATCGCTCACTCCCTGGCTGTTTCTGGGATGTCATTGATTGTCAGGACTCATGTGGAGTATAAACACCGGCACAGACCGGTTGGTCCGAGTGGGCTGTTTACAGGCTGTACAGTCTGTGTAAATTTTTATATGTGATTCCAAGTCCTGACGTCGGGGTTTGGACGCACAACCTTCTGACTCAGAGGCGAGAGCACTACGACTGTACCAGGAGGGACATGTTATGAGATTTTTAAAAGAGACCAATGCTTTTTGTTTCTCAGTGATTTACTTGGGCAATGTTTGGGAGCCTTTGACTGTCACCAGCCAGACCTGCTCCCCAGGATATCAACAGTCCGGGAATGGGACGTGCCTCGGTGAGTAATAATAACAATAATCCTTGCATTTGGTATAGCGCCTTATCATGTCGTTGCGACGTTTCAAAGTGCTTCACAGAATATGCTGCAAAGTACCTACACACTAAATGGCACAGTTTAAAGGGGGTTCAGGAACAGAGAGGGTTCCCATACACAGGGCTGTGAAGGTGACAGGACAGGTTGATAGAGCTGTTAAAAAAGCACATGGGATTTTGGGTTTATAAATCGAGGCAAAGAGTACAAAAACAAAGAAGTTCTGTTGAACCTTTACAAGTCACTGGTTAGACCTCAGTTGGATTATTGTGTGCAATTCTGGACACCGCACCATAGGAAGGATGTCAAGGCCGCGGAGACAGTGCAGAGGAGATTTACCTAATGTTACCAGGGATGAGGCACTTTATTTAACCCGTGGTGGGTGGGTGGGTGAGGGGGCAAGGGTGGGGAGGGGGGAGAGTTCGGGGGAAGGGGAAAGGTGACCAAAGCCATGGTCAATGAGGAAGATGTCGAGACGCACCTTGAGTAAGGTGAAGGAGAGAGTGAGTTGGAGGGACTCAGGGATGGAATTCCAGATGGTGGTGGCAGATAGGCTTTATGCTCATCCTAAATACGTATCGCTATGTCTCCATGTCTGGAGATCGCTAACCATATCTCTCTGGAATTCTCTCCCTCAATCTCTCTGCCTTGCCCCTTCCTTACCCATCTTCAAAGATCTTCCTCTTCGACCGCGCCCTCCTCTCGGCTCAGCATTGTGCTCCACCACTGTCAAGCTCTCTGGGACACTGCCCTGCATGAGGGCCAAGTGGTTGTTGTTATTTCTCTGTCTTTGTATCTCCATGTCTATCTCTGTCTACGTGTCTATCTCTGTCAATGTATCTCTGTGTCTATCGCTGTCAAATGTATCTCTGTGTCTATCTCTGCGTGTTTGCTCTGTGTGTATCTGTCGGTCACAGTAACGCAATGAATTGTGTAAGTTGAAGCACAGAGAAGCTGTCACTTGGATCTCATCCCATGATATTTACTTTCTTGTCACAGAATCCTCAGCTGCTCGGCAGTGAGTTCTGCCCTGTGATCGAGAAAATCTTCCACTTGGCTGATGAGTTCTGTCAAAACTTTACCAGGCGACTCGCTTTGGAGGTCAGTAACATACAGGACATCTCCTTTTCCCTTTGCCTCAATACTCAAGCCAAGAGCCTCACCATTTTAATAACAATTCTTGCATTTGACACAGCGCCTTATCAAATCTTCGAGACGCCTCGAAGCTCTTCACAGAATCTACTGGAAAGTCAATTGACTGTGTGTTTTGTGAGCGAAACGTGGCAGCCAGTTTGCGCACAGCAGTGTAACATAAACAGTCGTGGATTGAGTGACCAAATTATTATTTTTTAGTGGGTTTATTATGTCCAGAAAGCATTCCACCAATTAACTAACATCAGTCTATATCATCAACTCAGTCCAGGTTCCTACTTCCTGCTGAGTAAACAGAGGCAGGTGGAGTACGGAAACTTGCCTGTTGTTTCGCTCTGACCCGGGAATCAAACCGGGGTCCTCTCGCTTGCGAGGCGAGTGCTATAACCAACGCTGTCATGTCAACAGAACGTCACGTCATTCGCAAGCGACCTCGTGGGCAGAGACGAGCTGTGGAACAGTATGGAGACTGACGAGCGCATGCAATCTGCTAACGCCTTCCTAACCCTGGTGGAGAAATCCGCAATTGCGGCTGCATTGGATCTGCCCGATCAGGGAGTGAGGAGGAACCAGACGGAAATCATGGGTAAACAACAACAACAAGAACAACAACTTGCATTTGTGTAGCGCCTTTCACGTGAGGAGGACATCCAACGTGAAGGGCACTCCAGTGTTAAGTAATTATGTCACGACACCCCGACTCTTACACAATAATGTCATGTATTTGTAATAAAGATACACAGAAATATTAATATTAGTAATAATAACCCAGCAATAAAATGAGATGATTAATGTAATATTATAACTAATTAATATTCAAAGTGATAATAATGTTACTAACAGTGGTAGGTACATAAATCATTGTTTAACGCATTGAATGCTGTCCCGTTGCCCTCGGAAACGACCCGTGTTTGTGTCCTTTGCTTCTTAGAAGTGGAAGTGCGGATGTTTCGTGGGGAAGGGACATCCGAGCGGGAAAGGGTGAGGTTTCAGGCCAGGAACAACACGATGGACATCTTTCGGGACACAGTGACTGGGGGGAAAACCACAGGTACGTGTGGATAATAATAATAATAATCCTTGAATTTGATATAGGGCCTTATCATGTCATTGAGACCTCTCAAAGCGCTAAACCGAGTCTGTTCAGGTGGATGTTAAATATCCCGTGTGGTGCTATTGGCAGCGAAGCCAGAGAACTTAAGAGTGGTGGAGCACAAGGCCAAGATGGGGGAAGGGGGCAGGTGACGGTGGGCACGGTCGAACAGGAAGGTCTTCAGGCACGACCTAAAGATGGAGAAGAAAGAGGCGAGGCAGAGTGACAGAGGGAGAGTGTTCCAGAGTTTCGGGGTGTAGTGGCTGAAAGCGCAGCCACCGATGGTGGGATGGAGAGCATCAGTGACGTGCAGGAGGCTGGAGCCTGTTAAGCAGAGGCGATGGATTGAGGGGCAAGTAGGTCGGAGAGATAGAGAGGTGCAGGGCATGAACGGCACGGAATTCATCATCAAGGGAAAAACAAGGCATTTCTACTTGGCGTCCGAGGTCATCTCAACCTCCCCAGGAATGGGGAACCTTGGCTATGAGGTCAGTGGAGAAGTTAGGACTTTTCCCATTCGAGCAGCGAAGGTTATGCGGGGACCTGATAGAGGTCTTCAAGATCATGAAAGGTTTCGACAGGCGAGATAGGGAAAAGCTGTGTCCACTGGTTGGTGTGTCTGTGACTCGTGGTCACAGTCCTACGATATCTACCAAAAGAAGCAGAGAAGAGATTAGAAGAAATGTTTTCACTCAGCGAGTTGTTGGAATTTGGAATGATCCGCCCGAAAGGGCAGTGAAGTCCGATTAGATAACAGCTTTTAAAAGAGAACTGGATAGGTATCCGGGGAAGACGGGTTAGTGGGGTTATGGGGAGAAAGCTGGTGATTGGGGTTAGTGAAAGTGACACTCTGTCAAAGAGCCGCACAGACTCGATGGGCCATGCCATACCCCGCCATGCCCACGCCACCATTGACTGTCAGCCTTCCTGACAAATGATCCAAGGCATCAATACCAACTCGGTAAATAAATACTTCCTGGTGCCCGCCCTGCCCAACGCAACCCTGAAGCTGCGCCAGCTTGTCCTGCTGCCTCGGTGCAATGGAAAGTATTGTTCTGGGTTTACTGTCTGAATCCCATGAAAATTCTTGTACATCTCTACATGGCCAACTCTAAGACATCTTCTTTTAAGCCGAAAGAGTCTCCAGCTTCTCTAAACATTGTTGAACAGCAACAACAACAAATTGCATTGAAACATTACATTTCAGGTAGGGATGACATCCCAAGGGGCTGTATAGTTTGTAACTGAGCTACAGACTGTTGTCAAGAGGGTGAAGGTGGAAGGCTGACCAAAGGCCTGGTTAAAGAGTAGGGTCTTGAGATGGGCGTTGAAGGAGTCAACGGAGGGAGCGAGAATGAGGGGCTCTGTGATGGGCTGAAGGCCTGACTGTCAATGGTGGGGTGGGCATGGTGGGGACGTAGAGCAGGCCAGTGGCCGCTGAGCAGAGGGACAGGACAGTTTGGTATGGTTCTCGGAGGTGACAGAGGTGGAGCAGAGCAAGGCCGTGGATGGCTTTAAAGGTGAGGACAAGGATCTTGAACTCGATCCTCTGGGGGATGGGGAGCCAGTGAAGCCTGGTGAGGATCGGGGTGATCGGTCCATGGAGCCTAGTGTTGAGAGGGAAATGCACACCTGGGGGTCGACTTTGTATTATGAATTCTTCTTCTTAATAATGATATTAATCCGTGCATTTTGAGGATTTGCTGTAAAGTGCAGTGACTGTGTTTTGTGAGAAAAGACAGCAGCCAATTTTGCACACAGTCATGTCACACAAAGAGCCATGGAGTTAGTGACTAATTGTGTCTGGGGGATTGTCAGCCACGACACTGGGAGAGAGAAACTTCCTTCTCTCGGATTAATGTCTCATCCAAAGGACGGCCGGCAGTGTACAGTGCATTGCTGCAACAAGAACGATTTCATCTTATTGTTTAGCAACCAGGGGTCAAAAGCCTTCAATAGCCACACTCGAAGCCAAACAACACCAACATGCATTTATACACTGCCCCTCACGCAGTGTAGCTCCCAGAGCACAAACAGTGCATGGAATGGTCTCCACAGGGATACGAGCCGGGCACATGCCGAGGAAGGCGACTGCAGGACATGAAGAAGGAGCAGGGAATGGGGATATGGGTGGATGGTTTGTTGGAGGAGCAAACACTGGCACAAACAATGGGCCAAAAGGCCTCCTACTGTGTTGCCCATTTCCATGGACGGGACAGATATGGAGCAACGACAGCAGATGTCAAGGAAGATCAAAGCCAAACAGAAGCGCAGTGCCATCAGGTCTTTACCTTTACAGTGAGTGATGGTGTTGAAAGAACCTTCTCCGGGGCCGGAGACAAACCCTTTGTCACATACACACAGGAAACCTCCCTTTAAGTTGTGACAAGTTGCGTTGGCGCCACACGGGCTGGACTCACACTCATTGATATCTGTAATAAAAGCATCTGATGAGAAAGGATCACAACAACAACTTGGATATATATAGAGCCCTCCACACCATATGGCATATCAGAGCACTTCACAGTAACAGATCCCGGAGCCGAGCCAGGGGGAGGGGGAGGGGAAGGGGGAGGGGAAGGTGATCAAAGGTGTGGACGAAAAGAAAGGTCTTCAGCAGAGACCTGACGGTAGGAGGAGAAGGGGCGAAGCGAAGGGAGAGAGGGAGTCCCAGAGCCTCGGGGCACAGTGACTGAAGGCACAGCCGCTGAAATAAGCTCAGGAACGGGAACTGATAAAAATACAATTTTGTTTCTATTGCTCCTCTCTTTTTTGCTCTCTCTCTCTCTTTCTTTCTTCCTCTATCTCTTTTTCTACCTCTATCTATTTTTTTCCTCTTATCTCTCTTTCCTCTAATCTTCTATCTCTCTCGGGGAGTCCTGCAGCTCAGTGGTTAGAGCACTCGCTTTGCAAGTGAGAGACCAGATTTCAATTCCCGGCAGGTCAGGGCGAGACCTCGGGCAAGTTTCCTTACTCCACACAGAGCCTAATAATAATCCCTCCAAAACCAAAACAATAATAAATTGGTCATTTTCAATCCACGACTGTTTGTAGGACATTGCTGTGCGCAATTGGCTGCTGCGTTCGCCCACAAATATGCAGTCAATTCACTTCACAGTATATTCTGTAAAGCTCTTTGGGACGTCTCGAAGATGTGAAAAGCGCTATATCAGATGCAAGGATTATTATTATTATTACTGTTATTATTATTATTATTGTCTTCCTCTCAGGTTCTTTCTTGCTCTTTCTATCTTTATATATCCCTCCCTCCCTCACTCCCTCCCTCCCTCCCTCCCTCCCTCCCTCACTCACTCACTCACTCACTCACTCACCCACACTGTGTAGCTCCCAGAGCACAAACAGTGCATGGAATGATCTCCACAGGGATACGAGCCGGGCACATGCCGAGGAAGGCGACTGCAGGACATGAAGAAGGAGCAGGGAATGGGGATATGGGTGGATGGTTTGTTGGAGGAGCAAACACTGGCACAAACAATGGGCCAAAAGGCCTCCTACTGTGTTGCCCATTTCCATGGACGGGGCAGATATGGAGCAACGACAGCAGATGTCAAGGAAGATCAAAGCCAAACAGAAGCGCAGTGCCATCGCTGTGGGATTGTCTGAGAGGGACAGTCAAGTCTTTACCTTTACAGTGAGTGATGGTGTTCAAAGAACCTTCTCCGGGGCCGGAGACAAACCCTCTGTCACATACACACCGGAAACCTCCCTTTATGTTGTGACAACCTGCGAAGGATCCACATGGGCTGGACTGACACTCATTGATATCTGTAATAAACACATCTGATGAGAAAGGATCAAAGCTCCGAAATAAGCTCAGGAACGGGAACTGATAAAAATACAAGTTTGTTTCTCTTGCTCCTCTCTTTTTTGCTCTCTCTCTTTCCTTCTTCCACTTTCTTTCTTTCTTTCTTTCTTTCTTTCTCTTTCTTTCTCTTTCTTTCTTTTTCTTTCTTCCTTTCTTCCTTTCTTTCTTTTTCTGTCTGTCTGTCTGACTCACTCACTCACTCACTCAATCACTCAATTGTGCTGTGGGACCTGTAACATTCACCTGAAAAGGCACAGATGGGGCTTTGGTTTCATCTGAAGGACGAATGGGCTATAGATTAATATTTGCAATTTGTTTTTTCCAATCTATTGTGTCCAATTCATTCCAAATTTTCTCCATCCTCAGAAACACTATTTCAGTGAGTGAGCAGTAAATGTATGGAACAGACACCTTGGGAGTCAGAGCTGCAGAAAGTGTTGATTGTTTCAAAAACAAATGAGATCATAGAATCATAGAATCATAGAATTCTACAGCACAAAAAGAGGCCATTCGGCCCATCAAGTTTTGTGCAGCTCTTTGAACAGAGCAATGTAATGTCAGTCCCACTCCCCGGCCCTTTCCCCATAACCCGCAAACCCGTCCTCCTCAAATACCTGTCCACCGCGCTTTTAAAAGTTGTTATTGAATCGGCCTCGACCGCCCTTTCAGGCGATGCGTTCCAAATTCCAACAACTCACTGCGTGAAAACATTTCTTCTCACCTACTCTCGGCTTCTTTTAGAAACTACTTTGAATCTGTGACCGCGAGTCACCGACACACCCACCAGTGGAAACAGTTTTTCCATTTCTAACCTATAAAATCCCCTCATGATTTTGAAGACCTCTATTAGGTCCTCGTAACCTTCTCTGCTCCAATGAGAATAATCTTCGATTCTCTCGCCATTCCTCATCATCACGGTCCCTCATTCCTGGTCCCATCCTCGTAAATCTCCTCTGCGCCCTTTCCAACGCCTTCACATCCTTCCTATAGTGTGGTGCCCAGAACTGGGCGCAGTATTCTAACTGAGGCCTAACCAGTGTTTATATAGGTTAATCATAACCTCCGGACTCTTGTACTCTATGCCCCTATTTATAAAGCCTAGAATCCCATTTGCCCTTTTTACAGCCTTATCCTCCTGTCCTGACACCTTCAAGGATTCATTTACCTGCATCCCCAGGTCTCTGTTCTTTTGTCCCCCTTAAGATTGTATTACCGCCTATATTGCATTCCCTCATTCTTTCTACCAAAATGCATTACCCGCATTTCTCCACATTGACACTCATCTGCTGTGTCGCCCATTTTACTATCTGTCTCTGTCTTCCTGCAGTCGGCTCCTATCCTTCTCACTGTTTACCCCCTCCCTAACTTTGTGTCGTCCGCAAACTTGGAAATGGTACTTGCTATACCCAAGTCCAGATCATTTATGTATATTAAGAAGAGCAGTGGTCCTAATACCGATCCCTGGGGGACACCACTGTACACTTCCCTCCAGTCAGAAAAGCAGCCGTTCACCACAACTCTCTGCTCTCTGTCTCCCGGCCCGTTCTGGATCCGCTGACACTGTCCCTTTTATACCGTGGGCTTCTATCTTTCTTACAAGTCTTTCACGTGGCACTTTGTCAAATGCCTTTTGAAAGTCCATATAAACTACATCAACTGCACTACCTTTATCCACCCTCTCCGTTACCTCATCGAAAAATTCGAAAAATATGGATTTCTGTTGGAAATAATAGCGAAGGACACAATATATAGTTTGCGACACGACCTGTGCATGCGACTGCCAGGATGGTACAAGGTGAACTGGATGGACCTTGGTTTCTTTTGTCCAATAATTCTTATGTTATTACGATTGCAGGTCCAATGATTGCAGGAGATGAAAAGAGATCAGTAAGTGCTTCAGATCAGGATGAATCCAATCTGAGAGACATCTTATTGCAACAAGAAAACCCGAATGACAAAGGATCGTAGCCCCAAAACAAGGACATGAGACGACATCAAGGAAGTGCCCAGGAAAGGCCAATCTGAGACCCATCTTATCGTCACCAGTACCAACCTCCACACCCCAATTATCCCAATCCTCGCCAGCCTCCACTGGCTCCCTGGCTTTGAAAGGATTGATTTCAAACTGAACAAACACAAACAGAAGTACAGCGCCACTGCTCTGGGATTGACTGCAACAAAAGCACAAACTACATTAATACAGTGCCTTTCACATCAGGAGGACATCACAAGGTATTGGACAGTCAGGAATTGTGCCTGAGCTGGGGATTGGTATTAGGAGGGGTGGAAGGCAGGGAGGGTCAGGGTAGGAGGGTGACCGAATGCGCTGTCAAAGAGGAGCATCTTGACTCATTCCTTGAAGCAGACGGGGAGGGAGTGAGGCGACGGGACTGAGGGATGGAATTCCAAAGGATGGAATTCCAAAGGATGGGAGCAGAATTCCAACAGAAGCACAGCGCCATTGCTCTGAGATTGACGAGAGGGCAAGTCAAGCCTTTACCTTCAGAGTGATTGGTTGTGTTGTTGCGGGAGGCAGAACCTGGATCAAACGTGCAGTGGAAACTTCCCTCCGTATTGTGACAAGTTTCGTTGGAGCCACATGGGCTGCTTTCACACTCGTCGCGATCTGTAATAAGAAAATCCTAGTAATTGTTGTCTGTGTGAAAACAGCCACAGTTTCAGGGAACGTGGACTTTCTGTGATAAGATCAAAAGATGGGTATAACATGGACTATAGCTTTGGTAATTGTATGGTCGTTTGACCCACACCATCTCCACCGTGGACTTCCTTCAACTTCCTCCCTCCCTCACATCATTTAAGATCTGTCTCAATGACTTCCTCTTTGACCACACACACAAGATCACAAGATGGGTTTGGGTGAAGACGTCCCTTCGGCCCATCTGATCTCATCATCTCCACAACACTCGTCCAACCATCCATCCATTAACAGCATCAAGAGGTTTCTACAATGAATCCAGCGTCCAGGCCTCAGTCAGCCTTCCTGATAAATGATCCAAGGCATCAATACCAACTTGGTAAAGAAATACTTCCTGGTGCCCGCCCTGCCCAATGCAACTCTGAAGCTGTGCCAGCTTGTCCTGCTGCCTCGGTGCAATGGAAAGTATTGTTCGGTGTTTACTGTCTGAATCCCATGAAAATTCTTGTACATCTCTACATGGCCAACTCTAAGACATCTTCTTTTAAGCCTAAAGAGTCTCCAGTTCTCTAAACATTGTCGAACAGCAACAAATCGCATTGATACATTGCATTTCACGGAGGGAGGACATATAGTACAGTCAAGGGTTTGGACCTGAGCTGCAGTCTGATGTAAAGAGGGTGAAGGTGGAAGGCTGACCAAAGGCCTGGTTAAAGAGGGTCTTGAGAAAGGCGTTGAAGGAGTCAAGGGAGGGAGCGAGGATGAGTGGCTCTGGGATGGAGTTTCAGAGGGTGGGGGCAAAAAGGCTGAAGCCTGACTGCCGATGGTGGCGTGGGCATGGCGGGGACGTGGAGCAGGCCAATGGCCGCTGAGCAGAGGGAGCGGACAGTTTGGTATGGTTCTCGGAGGTCACAGAGGTGGAGCAGAGCAAGGCCGTGGATGGCTTTAAATGAGAGGACAAGGATCTTGAACTCGATCCTCTGGGGGAAGGGGAACCAGTGAAGCCTGGTGAGGATCGGGGTGATCGGCTCACAGAGCCTCGTGTTGAGAGGGAAATGCATTAATTCATACATTTTGAGGATTTGCTGTAAAGTGCAGTGACTGTGTTTTGTGAGAAAAGACAGCAGCCAATTTTGCACACAGTCATGTCACACAGAGAGCCATGGAGTTAGTGACTAATTGTGTCTGGGGGATTGTCGGCCACGGCACTGGGAGAGAGAAACTTCCTTCTCTTTTGGAATAGCCTTCAGGATCTTTGACATCCACCTGAACAGACAGACGAGACCTCAGATTAACATCTCATCCAAAGGACGACAGTCAGTGTACAGTGCATTGTTGCAACAAGAATGATTTCATTTTATTCTTCAGCAACCAAGGGTCAAAGACCCATCCTTAGAAACTGCGTTAAAGCCTTCAATAGCCACACTCGAAGCCAAACAACAACAATGTGCATTTATACACTGCCCCTCACGCAGTGTAGCTCCCAGAGCACAAACAGTGCATGCAATGATCTCCACAGGGATACGAGCCGGGCACATGCCGAGGAAGGCGACTGCAGGACATGAAGAAGGAGCAGGGAATGGGGATATGGGTGGATGGTTTGTTGGAGGAGCAAACACTGGCACAAACAATGGGCCAAAAGGCCTCCTACTGTGTTGCCCATTTCCATGGACGGGACAGATATGGAGCAACGACAGCAGATGTCAAGGAAGATCAAAGCCAAACAGCAGCGCAGTGCCATCGCTGTGGGATTGTCTGAGAGGGACAGTCAAGTCTTTACCTTTACAGTAATTCATTGTGGTGTTGAAAGAAGCTGTTCCGGTGCTGGAGACAAACCCTTTGTCACATACACACAGGAAACCTCCCTCAGTGTTGTGACAAGTTGCGTTGGAGCCACATGGGCTGGACTGACACTCATTGATATCTGTAATAAACACATCTGATGAGAAAGGATCAAAGCTCCGAAACAAGTTCAGGAAAGGGAACTGATAAAAATACAAGTTTAATTTTCTTTCTCCTCTCTTTTTTGCTCTATCTCTCTATATCTTTCTCTTTCCTTCTTCATCTGTCTTTCATTCTCTCTTTTTCTACCTCTATTTTTTTCCTCTATCTCTCTTTTTCTCTTCCTCTCTGTTTCTTTCTTGCTCTTTCTATCTTTTTATCTCGCTCCATTCATTCCCTCCCTCCCTCCCTCCCTGGCTCTCTCTCTCTCTCTCTCTCTCTTTCTTTCCTTTTTTCTCTCTCTCTTTCTTTCCTTCCAGCTTCAAAAGCAGCCTCATTCTAACTGGATACGAGACAGCAACAAGAAGAAGATTACATTTGTGTAGCGCTTTCACATCGGGAGGATGTCCCAAAACACTGAGGGAAGCACAGACATGTGTCGGGGTCACACATGTCATCATGTCATTGAGGTGCCTCAAAGCGCTTCACATGACTTGCTGTAAAGTGACCATGTGTTTTGTGGGCGAAACACGGCAGCCAATTTTGCGCAAACAAATTGCCACAAACAGGGCCACAGGGATCATTAACGTCCGCCTGAACAAGTCTCTTTACTGTTGAAAGGCTCATGTAATACGAAGCTGCCAAGGAATCGGACTTCAAGTTGCACCAAACCTTTCCCTCCTCCTGAGGGCAGCAAATGAACACGAAAAGGTCCACTTCAGCCTTCACAAGATCCCAAGATGGGTTTGGTTGAAGAAGTCCCTTCACCCCATCTGATCTCATCACCTCCACAACACTCGCCCGACCGTCCCCATCACAGCATTGAGCTGCTTTTTAAACGATTCCCATTGTCCTGATCTCAACCCCTTCCACACCACCTGTTCCATTTGTTAATTACCCTCTGGGTAAAGAAACACTTCTTGGTGTCTGTCCTGAAATTGCCCCTTTGCATCTCTAACCTTGTGGCCTCTTGTTCCGCTGTCTCAGTGCATCCCAAAGTATTGATCTGGGATTCAATCCCATTTACAATGTTACACACCTCTATAAGGTCTCCTCTGAGACACCTTCTGAGAACTGAAGAGCCCTCTCGCTTGTCTAATCATTGCCCGTAGCTCATTGCTCTAACACTGGGGACCATCCTCGTTGCTCTCCTCTGCACTGTCTCTGGGACCTGGGCAGCCCCTCATGTCACAGTGACCAGAACTTGATGCAGCTCAAGGTGCAGCCTGACCAGACACTGTACAGTCCGAGTGGGACCTCTGGGGATCTGATCTCAAAAGATTTCACAATTCAGCCGAGCATCCTGTTTGTGTTGTGACACAGAGAGAGACAAGTCAACTAACGCCTCTCAGCTTCCCCCCTCTTGGCAAGTTCCGTCCCATCCATGACTTGTATTTCGTATTCTAAGACGGGTTGGATTACCTTGGTTGCATACTTTAATATTCATATAATGTTAAATATGATGTAATATATAATCTCTGGTGTTCAGAAAGTTGAGGGCGATTTAATTGAGATATTTAAAATGTTAAATTTGACTTGAATACTCTTGAGCAATGGTGATGGGTTTCTCATGTGTCAGACACTCGGCTAAGCAAAAAAGGAAGGTTTTTTAGGCGAGATTTGAAAGTGTGGAGGGAGGGGCAAGACGGAGAGATTGAGGGGGAGAGTTCCAGAGTTTTGGGGATCAGTGGCTGAAGGCACAGCCATCAATGGTGGAGCGGAGTGGATGAGGGACAAACAGGAGGCTGGAGCCGGCCGAGTGAAGGCCGAGTGACGGCAGCTGGTGGTGGAATGGGGGGTAACCAAATCAGAGAGGTAGGGAGGTGCGAGGACCTGAAGGGGTTGGAAAATGAGTGAGAGGATCTTGAAATCGATCCAACAACAACAACAACAAGATTCCATTTATAAAGCGCCTTTCACGTCAGGAGGACGTCCCAATTCAGTGATTGGGAGTGAGTGGAGCCTGGAAAGCACTGGGGTGATGGGGGCACAGAGTTCTGTGCGGAGTTTCTAATTCTCTGGGTGCGGAGTTTTGAATTAATTGAATTTTGTGTGTGGTGGAGGTGGGGGACCAGCGCGGAGGGCATTGGAATGGTCCAAGGTGACCTCAGTGTGTTGGGATTTAATAATAATAATCCTTGCTTTTGATATACCACACCTTGTAGTGTTCATAGCATGAAAGACTCATAGAATTTTACAGCACAGAAGGAGGCCATTCGGTCCATCATGTCTGTGACGGCTCTTTGAATAGAGCTGTCCAATTCGATCCCACTGCCCCGCGCTCTCCGTGTAGCTCTGCAAACTTATCCTCCCCAACATTGTTGATACATCTCAAAGTGCTTCAGACTGTGAGCGAATTGACTGTATTTTGTGGGAGAAACATGGCAGCCAATTGAACGCAAGGTTTCGCCCTCGCCTAACGGTCCTCTCGCTTGCGAGGCGAGTGCTCTCGATTTGCTAGATTTGATTTGAGGCAAATTAGGGCAGAACGAGAGGGGACGAGATGGAGGGGCAGAGGGACGGAGAGCCAAAGGTTAAGAGCCTATGGACTGAAGACTTACCCAGAGATGGTGGCGCAGAGGGTGGAGGGAGGGAGAGGGTGGTGGGGGGGGTGAGCCTGAGTTACCCAAGAGGAGGGATGAGGGGAGGAAGACATGGAGAATACAACAGAGGATATCAGGCTGTGACTGTCAACTCCAGAGAGACACAGAGCAATAAATTAATACCTGGTTTCAAAATGTACAACAGAGAATTGTGCTCACCTTCGCACTCTGTACTTTGGGTGAAATTAGTTGTTCCAGAAGGACTGACGTAGCCTTGTTGACAGGTACAGTAGTAGGACCCGGGTACGTTGTGACAAAGTGTGTATGAACCACACAGTGCGGTAATGAGCGCTGGATCACCATAAGTCTCACACTCGTCTGTATCTGCTCAGAAGGGAAACAGCTTTGGTCAGGAACACAGAGACTCAGACAACATCGAACCATAACCAACATGAGAAGGTCTTGAGACGGGTCTTGAAGGAGACAAGTGAGGGGGTGAGGCACAGGAGCTCCAGGAGGGAGTTCCAGGGGGTGGGGGCAGAAAGCCTGAAGGCTCGATACTGATGGTGGAGCGAGACAGGAAGGGGACAGGGAGAAGGCTATTGCCAGCCGAGCGGAGGCATCAGGGCAATCGGTCTCAGTGGAGCACAACTGTGGAGGGTTTAAAATGCAAGGACAGAGAAAAGATAACGGAGGGGAATAAAGGTGAAGGAGAGGGGAGGGGAGGGGAGGAGAGGAGGGAGGAGAGAGGAGAGGAGGGAGGAGAGAAGGGGAGAGAGGAGAGGAGGGAGAGGGGAGGGAGGTGAGAAAGGAGGGATAGAAGAGGGAGTAGAGGAGGGTGGAGAGGGGAGAGAGAGGAGGAGAGGGAGGAGGGTGGAGAGGGGAGAGAGAGGAGGGGAGGGAGGAGGGTGGAGAGGGGAGAGAGAGGAGGAGCAGCTGTGATTGTAGGTGTAGTTTGAGACTCACCAACACAGACAAATTCCGGTGAAAGCTGATAACCATCCCGGCACCTCTGGCTTGTGACGAGCTGTGGATACCACACACTGCAAACCCACATCACTGAAAACAACCAGAAGACACGTTTACAACGTCTGACAATCTGACCGTGGAGTCCTGTAGCTCAGTGTTTAGAGAGCGCGCCTCGCAAGCGAGAGGATCGGGGATCGATTCCCGGCACAGGGGGAATGTTGAGCAACAACAACAACAACAACAAGATTCCATTTATAGAGCGCCTTTCACGTCGGGAGGACGTCCCAAAGGGCTGGTCGGGACCCGAGCATTGGGGGGAAATGGTCAGGGTGAGGGGAAGGAAGGGAGGGAGCGAGGAGGGGGTAGAGAGTCGAGAGGGGAGCTGAAGGCTCGGTCAAAGAGAAAGGTCTTGAGACCGGCCTTGAAGGAGGAAAGGGAGGAAGCGGCGAAGGCACTGGGGATGGAGTTCCAGAGCCTCGGGGCTGAGAGGCTGAAGGCTACCGATGGTAGGGCGGTTGGGGCGGGGGATGTGGAGCAGACCGGAGCCAGAGGAACGGAGGGTACGGGCAGGTAGGTAGGGGGATAGTAGGTCAGAGAGGTAGGAGGGAGCGAGGCCGTGAATGGCCTTGTAGGTGAGGATGAGGATCTTGAATTGGATCCTCTGGGGGATGGGGAGCCAGTGGAGGTGAGCGAGGGCGAGGGTGGGAGTGAGGGCGAGGGTGAGGGTGAGGGTGGGAGTAATGTGGTCCCGGTGTCTGTTGCGGGACAGTACACGAGCTGCAGAGTTCTGAATGACCTGCAGTGTGGAGGGAGGGCCGGGAAGGCCGGCGAGGAGAGCAAGTCTCCTTACTCCACAATCCACTGTGTACCGAACAGTAAGTAGGAACCTGGTTGTTAGTCGATTGGCGGATTGCTTTTCTGGGGTAATATTTCCTTCAAAAAAAATAATAATACATTTTTCACTTCAATCCACGACTGTTTGTGGGGACGCTGCTGTGCACAATTGGCTGCTGCGTTTCGCCCACAAAACATACAGTCAATTCATTTTACAGTCAATCCTGTGAAGCACTTTGAGACGACTCGAAGGTGTGATAAGGCACTATATCAAATGCAAGGAATATTATTATTATAATTATCACAGTGAAACAACATGAAATCTAACACGTACCCATCACCAGCTCTAACCAGGCTCCACTGGCTCCCTATTACACACACTGAACCCCGTACCCCATCACACCAGCCCTCGCCACTCCACTGGCTCCCTATCACCGGACGGATTAATTTCTCCGACCTGCTTACTCCCCAACCCACTATCCGCTGCCTCTGCTCGACTGGCTCTGACCTCCTGCTGGTCGCTCGTCCCCTCTGTTCCACCATCAGTGGCCGCACTTTCAGCCGCTACACCCTGAAACTCTGGATCTCTCTCCCTCAATCCCTCCACCTTGACCCCTCCTTCCCCACCTTCAGGTCGTGCCTGAACACGTTCCTCTTCGACCGCCACTGTCAAGCGCTCTGGGACGCTATCCTGAGTGAGGGGCGGAAATGCAAGTTGTTGTTGTTGTTGTTGTTGTTGTTGGGGGTCGGGTTCACACTGGGCAACTAATGCTCATAAAAACAGTCTCGGCTGAATCTCCAGTGCAGTGCTGGGGGAGCGCTGTAATGTCGGAGACGCCGTCCTTCAGATGAGACATTAAACCTCACTCCCCATCCGTTCTGGTGGATGTTAAAGATCCCACAGCACTATATAAAAAGAGAAGAGAGTTTCTCTCTCTCCCGGAGTCCCGGCCAATAATCGCACCTAAATAAGATCACTCATTCACTTCATGGCTGTTTGCGGGGATCGCTGTGCGCAATTGACTGCTGCTCCGACCACAAAATGTACAGTCACTACACCTTATAGTGTAGAGTGAATTGAGTGTATATTTTGTGGGCGAAACAGTCATTTTCCATCAAGGCAATAGTTGGCAGTAGATCACCCGCAAACCACACAGTCAAACCATTTTGCAGTGAAATCCTGTGACGACGCCTCGATGACGCGATAAGGAGCCGATCGAATGACAGGAGTGTAAGTTGCACATCAACTTTCATATAAGAACAGCCTCACATCTCAGAGCACTTCACAGCACAAATCAACAACAACAACTTGCAGTTTTGGGCATCTAAATCGATTGGAAATAAAGTGGATATTGTCAGCCGGGCTCAGTTGGCAGCAAATTAAAGAAGGAACTATCCCAACAAAACCTCCCCCCTCCCCTCCCTCCCTCCCTCCCCCCCCCCCCTCCCTCCCTCCCTCCCTCCACGATAAAATTCACAGTTGTTTGCAGGACAGTGCTCTGTGCAAATTGGCTGCTGCGTTTGCCTAAAAACTACACCTTCACTGCACTCTACAGTAAAATAACAAGAAGCACTTTGAGACGTCTTCCCGACGTGAAAAGGTGAGACATCAAATACACAGATTATTATTCTTGTTATAATTTTGGAGAAAGTGAGAGGAGAGAAGGTCTCCAGTGTCCGACACGAGAGAGAGAAAGAAGTCTGGAGTGTTTTATATCTTAGAGAGGCAGAAAGAAAGAGATGAGAAGAAGAGTTAGAGAGTGGTGGATGAGACAGCGAGACAGGAAGAACAGGAGAGTTTGATGAATCTGATAAAGATGAAGGGTACAGAGAAGCAAACGAGAGTTTAACACAGTCAAACAGACAGGACATGTATTGCTCACACACTGATGTCCTGAACTAACTTACCCAGAATAAGGACTTCAGTGTTCATGATCCCAGACACAGAGTTCCTCACAACCAGTTTACAGAAAGTCCACCAGTAATCTCTTGCTCTCTCGCTCTGTCTCTCTCACACTCACACTCACACTCAGTGAGAAGGGAAATAAACTGTACAGTTATATGAGACACACCCAAAAAACTTTAGCAACAGGCGAATAAGAGGGGGAGGAGCCCTCTTAAAGTTTGGCAGCACTCCACGAGGATTGTTGAACTCAAGGAAATGTTTAAACCCGGTGTAATCTACTCGCACTGAACATTAATGCTCTCTTTTCGTTTATTTTCTCTTGTGCCAGTCCGGCTCAGCCGCCAGCGCTCTCGCCTCTGAACTGAACAACAACAACAACTTGGATTCACATAGTGCCCTCCACTGCGGACGGCGTCTCAGAACGCTTCAAAGTTCATACCCCCATGTTAGAGACTTTCAGCTAACATATTCCAGGCTGACGCTGCTGTGTGTGTGTGTGTGCGTGTGTGTGCGCGTGTGTGTGTGCATGTGTGCTGTGTGTGTGCTGTGTGTGTGTGCTTGCGCGTGTGTGTGTGTGTATGCGTGTGTGCTGTGTGTGTGTGCTTGTGCTGTGTGTGCGTGCATGTGCGTGTGTGTGTGTGCGTGTGCTGTGTGCGTGTGTTTGCTGTGTGTGCGTGCACGCGTGTGCGTGTGCTGTGTGCGTGTGCTGTGTGTGCGTGTGTGTGCGTGTGCTGTGTGTGTAGTATCAGAAGTGAATGTGGGTCCATTCCAGGCAGAGACAGGAGGAATTAGCTCAGTCCTGTAGCTCAGTGGTTAGAGCACTCGCTTTGCAAGTGAGAGACCTGAGTTCAATTCCAGGCAGAGGGCCAAACCTCGGGCAAGTTTCCTTACTCCACACAGAGCCTAATAATAATCCTCCAAAACCAATAATAAATTGGTCATTTTCAATCCACGACTGTTTGTGGGACATTGCTGTGCGCAATTGGCTGCCGCGTTCGCCCACAAATATACAGTCAATTCACTTTACAGTGTGTTCTGTGAAGCGCTTTGGGACGTCCTCCCGACGTGAAAAGCGCTATATCAAATGCAAGGATTATTATTATTATATTATTAATTATAATGGGAGATAAAGATATGGCCGTCATTAAACAAATACTTTTCTTCTGTCTTCACGTTAGAAGACCGTGAACACTTACAAAAAATAGAGGGGAACCAAGAAGCTAATGTTAGTGCCCAATTTTAGGGAATTAACACTAAAGGATTAGGGAAACTGTTGGGATTGAAAAATGACCCATCCCCTGGACCTGACGGCCCACATCCCGGGGTTTTAAAAGAGGTGACGGCTGAGAGAGTGGACGTCTTGTCTTTGATCTTCCAAAACTCTCTGGATTCTGGAACGATTCCCAATGACTGGAAAATCCCAAACGCAGCACCGCTATTTAAGAAGGAACTGAAACTGAAGATGGGGAACTATAGACCAGTCAGTCTGACATCTGTTGTGGGGAAAATTCTAGAAACCTTAATTAGGGAAGTCGTAGTGGGGCACTTGGAAGACCATAACATGGTTAGGCCGAGTCGTCAAAGGTTTACAAAAGGGAAGTCACACTAACAAATCTTTTAGCGTTCTTTGAGGATGTAACTAGTAGGTTAGATAGGGGGGAACCAGGAGATGTAGTGTATTTAGGTTTTCAGAAGGCGTTCGACAAGTGCTACATAAAAGACTACTACACCAGATTAGGGCCCATGGAATTAAAGGCAATGTATTCGCATGGATTGAAGAGTGGCTAACGGGGAGGAAACAGAGAGTCGGGATAAACGGTCCTTCTCAGATTAGCGGAACGTGACTAGTGGAGTGCCACAAGGATCAGTGATTGGGCCTCAGCTATTTACAATCTACATCAATGCTCGAGACGAGGGCATAGAACTTAAACTATGTAAATTCATAGATGATCCTAAGCTCAGTGGGAGAGTAAGCTCAGAGGATGACACAAAAAGATCGCAAAGGGATATAGACAGGCGAGGTGAGTGGGCAAGAAGGGGCAGATGGAATATATGTGGGAAAGTCTGAAGTTATTCACCTTGGCAGGAAAAATAGAAAAGCAGATTATTTTCTAGATGGGGAGAGGTGAGAAAGTGTCAGTGTTCAGAGGGATTTGGGTGTCCTTGTACACCAGTCACATAAAGTTAGTTTGCAGGTACAGCAAACAACCAGGAAGGCTAATGGCATATTGACATTTATTGCAAAAGGGTTAGAATACAAGAGGAGGGAAGTGTTGCTGCAATGGGCCTTGGTGAGACCGCACCTCGAATATTGTGTGCACTTTTGTTCCCCTTATTTAAGAAAGGACGTACTCGCCTTAGAGAGGGTGCAGCGGAGACTCACTTGGTTAGTTCCTGAGATGAGGGGTTTGACCTATGAGGATGGGTTGGGTAAACCAGGCCGACATTCTCTAGAATATAGAAGAATTAGGGGAGATCTTATAGAAACATATACGATTCTTATTGGGCTTGACAGAGTAGACAGTGAGAGACTGTTTCCCC